AGTTCTGTATGTGCAAATAAATCTTTAAAAAAAAAAATTTAATTGCAGCTTTGAAAAGCCAACGGGTGATGCTTTAGGGGCCAGAGAGCAGAACACCGGGAGTCCCAGGGAAAGGCGTGTCTGGTGTAGACCTCAGGTGGCGAAGCCGGACACACCGACAGGAGCTGCGTCCGCGCCGCGGGCTGCGGGCTGCGGGCTGCGGTGGGGCCACAGCGCCAGTCTGCTTCCGGCCTGCTGGCGTCCAGCGAAGCGAGGAGCCGACGTCTCTGGTTCCGCTCGGCCTTTCGCAGGGGAACCTGGATCCAGAGCCAGGCAGGGCAAGGCTTGCCGAGTCTTCTCTGTAGCTGATGTGCTTTTGCACGGTGCAAGGCTGCTTGCACGTCAGGAGGACGAGGACCCTATCACGTGATTTTGGAGAGTGACTCTCCCCTGCGTCTTCCTGCTCCCATCCAGAGATGACGGGGGCCTCCGACAGCACCCCGGGAACAAGCCCTCCGAAGCGGACCCCGTGAGCTGCGTCACACTCGGACACTGTCGTTCACATGGCTTAGGCAGAGCAGGTGAGACTTCGTCCCTCTCCCGGGCAGGGGAGCTGAGACCGGAGAGAGGGACGTGTCCCGTGTCCAGTAGCGACCGCACTTCATCAACTCTAAGCTGCCCCTTTGTATTTCGACACGTGCACACGCCCTGCGGCCGTGACGGAGCACAGAGCCCACAGCTGCCCTCCCCAAACGGCCCCCCAGAGCTCCCCTCAGAGCGCGGTGGTGAACAGCGAGGGGACGCAAGTCTTATCGGAAAGGAAACATACGGCGCGCACAGGGGCTCGGCGAGCCGCCTCTGTTCCACCCACACACTGGTCTGCCCCGAAGGGACAGTGCCCGGAGCCCCTCTCCTCCTGCTTGGCCAAACACCAAATAAACCCGCCCCAAGTGCCCCGCCCGCCAGCCTTTACTCACTGCAGGCGGAAGATGGCGGTCAGCCAGGGGCAGCAGCCCTGAAACGGAGTCGGGGGTTAGTGTCCAGCGTCTGCTGGGGGCAGCTGTGGTCATTAACCACCTTCTAACCTCCTACTGTGTCCCGAACTCAGGACGTGGCCCGTGGCCCGTGGCCCGACCGTGTCGGGGCCTTCCCCGTCCTTCACAGCTGCGCCTGGGGTCACTGGGGAACCCGTCAGGCTGGACCATCTGTGCAATTACATGTCCCAGGATCAAAGCCTGAACCTGAATCCAGAGCTCGGTGCAGCCCCGGAGAAGTGGGTTTCTCTTCGGTTACTTCCAAATGACTGAATAAGATTTGACGCACACGACAGGAAATAAACCTCATCAGTTAGCTCCCTGGATGGCACTGAGAGGGGGAAAAGGTGCCCCTGAGTCTGATTGTCCATCAGCTCCAAAACTTAATACTCCCTGAAGCTGGCTGATCACATGCTGGGAAAGACAAACACCTTTTCACCAATAACTACACATCGACTGGGTACGGGGTCGGGAAGGGACAGGCCTGGAGAGGACAATGTCCCCGCCCCACGGGGCAAGTCAACCAGCTCTCGCCTTAAACATGATGACAGGGACAGGGCTGGGCGCTCCGGGGCCTGGGTCAACCCCATCTCGTGACCCCCAGTCACTCAACTGCCTTCTTTCTTGTTGTATTCCCCAAATTCGGGTGTCTGTGCTGGTGCAAAGAAGAGACCTCACCAGCTCTCAGATGCAGGTCAATGGCTGAACAGCAGGTAACAGCACCCGACCACCGGCTCCCCTCCACAGCCCACCTCTTGCCCTGGCCGAGACCCGAGTTACTGCTGAGATACCCACCAGCTCATTTTCAAAGTCAGGCTGCCCTACGGAAGACGATGACAATCTCTGGAATCTGGATTCACTAGAAAGACAAAAGGAAAAGACAAGTGAGTCTTTCAAAACATCGAAAAACTTATCAAGTATCTTGCTTCCTCTAAAAGTTCGGGATCAAAGCTATCGGCTCTCAATGACAGGGACAAAATACAAATCACTTATGGGTCAATGCCCACTCTGAAGTTGGGTGAGAGGTAAAACACTACAGCATATGGATGAATAACCCAACCCATCCTTTGCTTAGCACGGTGACTGGTCTACCTAAGGCCACTTCAGATTATGGCTGATAACACACGTGTCCCAACACAGCAAACAGAACTTGCACTAGGTACTGTATTTTATTAACTCAAAGGCATCACTGGTTATCAGGAAGATACTTTATTCTAGAACCACTGAGAAAGAAAAATAGCTGCCAACTGAGCGAGAACCACCGTTAATAACCAGTCGCCTATCCGAGGGTGTGGAAAGAGAGGAGCTCTCCTGCACTGCTGGTGGGAAGGCAGACTGGTCCAACCACTATAGAAAACTGTTTGGAGGTTCCTCAAACTGCTAAACATGGAGCTTCCATAGGACCCAGCAATCCCACTCCTAGGTATCTGCCCAAAGACACAAAAACATTGATTCAAAAAGATACCTGCACCCCCATGTTTATTGCTGCTTTACTTACAATCAGAAAGACATGGAAACAGCCCAAATGCCCAAAAGTAGAAGATTGGATTAAAACGATGTGGTACATATACACAATGGATTATTACTCAGCAATCAAAAAAGACAAACCCATGCCTTTTACAGCAACATGGATGGAGCTGGAAGGGATCATGCTGAGTGAAATAAGCCAGAAAGGAAAGGCAAAATACCAGATGGTTTCACTCATAGCAGGAGCATAAAGGACCAGGCAGAGAAATAATAATGAATAACTATATACCAGAGACATTTTACAGAGGTGGAGTGGGGAATGGGATAAAAAATGGTGGGGGGAGTGCTCAGAACTATGATGACAGCACACAGGTGATTTGGTCTATGGTGATGGCACACTTCTGGTCTATACCCCAACTCTTGTATGCATATATAAATAAATCTTTAAAAAAAAAAAAAAGAATCCATCCATCGTCCACTCCCACCCGCAAGCTTCCTTCTCATCACACTGTAAAGTTGGTGTGAAACTGATATAACACAACAAAATAATATTAGAGCATAAACTACTACCTGGCATCCCCCTCCCTGTTAGATGAAACTGTCAACTGCAAAATGAACGTTTTCTGCTGATTTTATGCTTACTGTGGGACATCTAAAAGGTGATGAAAATCTAAAAGGTGATGAAAGTCACATAATCAAAAGCCAATTACTTTGCGATAACTTCAGTTAATACTATGCCATCATGCCTCTTTTTGTCCTCCATGAACTCATCATTTTCCATGTGTTTGAAAAAAAATACACAATTCTGCACTGTGACTTTCAGTCTAGCACCAATCGCATTTGTCTTCCATGTCATCAAAGCCTGAGGTGATGCTCAGGTGACAGTCGAGGCGTTGCTGAGGGGCTGGGTGATGGGAAGCCCCGGGGACGACAACTGAGATGGGAAAAGGCACAAAATAAATGATGTAAAAATAAACTATTCTAATAAAAAATAAGAAGACATTGCCTATCAGTTTCAGAGATGAGAAAATCTCCAAATGAGCATGTTGGTGTTGATGAACTATGTTTCATAATGGAGCATTTTAATCAGACTCGTTCTTCTAAGTGGCCTATAAAAAACGCTCTGTGCGCGTGAATCAGAGGTTCATTTTACTTCTGACTTCCCTGCTCCTGCTCCACCCTCCCACTTCTAATGATCTGTCACAGGGTGAAACGTGGCTGTTGAAGCCTTCACGACCAGGGCCTGTGTGGCCCGCACGGCATCGCTGTGGGAGAGCAAGAACAGAAGGAAACGCGTCCAGGTTCCCAGCATGCCTGGGGCACGCAAGGAGGACGCGTGGGGGAGGGGCCTCGTGTTCTTTTACTCTTTTTAACGATTTATTTTTATTCATTTATGCATATAAACGCCGGGGTATAGGCCAGAAGTGGGGGGTGAGAGGGGTCACCAGAGACAGAGCAGGGAGCAGAGCAAGCCGACTGACGAAGTTCACTACTGAGGTGAGCAGCGGGCGGGTCAGGAGAGGTCTGCTGCGCCCTGGGGGTCACTCCCTGGCTGTGGACCGAACTCTGTGCTGCAGGGGCTGCAGACAGCTTCTCAGTGCTCAGACTTTCACCCCTACACACTGGGGGTGGGGGGCCCCTCAAGTGTTCTCCTTACTGCAGTGTGGCTCTTCCCAGGGTAACTGCTGAAATGCACCAGATGTCTCCCAGCCGGCCCCCCACAATCTGAAGCTTCACTGCAGCGGAAGCAACAGGCCCGTCACCCCCCCGGTGAACACCCTCCCGCCGGCTCCCGGAGCAGAGCCCTGCGGAGGCAGGTGCCTCACGCGCTCCCTGGCCTCCCGGCCGCGCGGACTCGCCCGCCTCCCACCAGGTGCCCGCACGGAGCGGAGGGTGGACCCCAGGGCCGGGGTGGGGCAGCCTGGTCAGGGCGTGTGTTTTCCCAACTCACTTCCTCTTGCTCCACCAGACGCAAGTTCCTGGGTGTGTGCTGGAGCTGGAAATTCCAGTTGCACAGACCTAGCTACACCCTGCTCAGGTGAGCGAACAGAGCACCGTCAGGGCCCGGTGGGGCTGAGGGACACGAGGTCCGGCCGAGGGGCCTGTGCTCTGCAGCCGAGCGTCCGGTGCCGGCCAAGGCCGGGCCCCAGCGCACTAGCCGGAAGAAGACTGCTGGCCCGCGGCCCACTGCCCTCTCCAGCCTCCCCGCTTCACGCGAGCCCTAAACCGGCCGGTGCAAAGACAACACGCAAGCTGGGAGCGGAGCGGCATCGTCCTCCACAGACGAGAAAGCTCTGCGCGTCCGAAGCAGCTGGACGGCGCCCACCGCCGGGAGCCGACGCGCAACAGCCCGGCCGGAAGCCCCAAGCCTTGGGGCTGAGCTCCCCGACGCGGGCAGGCTGACCCCGGGGGCAGCCGTGCTGGGAAGCAGGGAGGACATGGCTCCGTGCAGGCCCAGCACGGACACTCGGCGAGGCGGCCGGCTGTCGTGTGCGCCGCCCAGCCCAGCCTGTCTCACACGCTCGCTCGCAGTGAGGCATCTTCCTTACCTGCCAGCTTCTGACACCAAGGCAATGCGGCCATAGTCCCAGAATCTTCTCCGTATGATGGAAAACACCAATATTAAAAACTGCAAGAAAGAAAGCAATCAGGGCCTCCCTGGGGGCGCAGCAGGTTGAAGCCCAGCACTGAGAAGCTAAAGCCACTTTAGCACGACTTCGATCCCTGCCCGCTCCGGAGGTGACCCCCAGGGCACAGCAGACCTCTCCTGACCCGCCCACTGCTCCCCTCAGCAGTGGACTTTGTCAGTCGGCCTGTTCTGCTCCCCGCTCTGTCTCTGGGGAATCCTCTCACTCCCCTGCATCTCTGGCAGTTCCGTATGCACAAATAAATAAATCTTAAAAAAAGAAAAGAAAAAGCAATCGGGTAAAAGCACACTGGGTGGCTTCTCGGGAGAAGAGCGCTGTCTGAGGCCCTCTTCACCTCACCGGCACGGAGTCCTGGAAGCCCTCCAGGCCCAGGCCACGCACGCGGGGCTTGGGCTGAGGGGCCTCCCCAGCATCACCACCCGCACCTGCGCCCGTTTGCAGGTGCCGGGCAGCGGGAACGAGACCACAGGCCTCGCTGAAGGAGTCAGCAGCACAGTCTCAACCCTGAGTTGCCTCCAGCTGCTCCTTGAGCAGGAAGTTTCCACGGCTTTTGGGGGCCAGCCCCCCTCTCCACTTTGGACAGTTATGGAGCCAGGTGCCCCCCACCCCACCCCAGGCAGGGCCCGCGTGCTCAGCTCCTTCCTCGGAGCTCAGTGCTCCAGCGGGCAGGACCGGAAGGCTCTGGCCGTGAACTTGAGGGTGTCCAAGGAGCTGGGGCCTGGCTGGCCGGGCCCCCCAAAGCTGGCCCCGCAGGGTGGGGGTGGACGGAAGGTCTGTCTAAACCCCTCTGAGCCCTAAGCTGTCAATCTGACACGGCCTCCCCCTTAGAAGTTTCCCGACCAGTCCCCACCGGTCTCCCGGACCTGCTCCCTCCCTCCAAGGTGCAGGGAGAGGCTCTCTCTGCCTGCCCTCAGCAGAAGCCCAGCTGTAAAGAGCATGTAAAGTAGGTCTTGTTTTCTGAAGGAAAGCCAGAGAGCCGGGCCAGGGCGGCTGGGCTCCTGGGGGGTCACTGGCAGGCTTTCCGAGGAGCAGGTGAGTCATGCCGGGTCCCCACAAGGTCTGCTTAGCCAGCGCCAGCCGCTGCCCCACCCTGCTCCTGCTGGGGCTGGTTCCCAAGAGTCCACGTTTTCCTGGCCCTTTCCCTCCCCGCTAACAACTTCCCATAAAAAATACCCACCCTTCGCCCCAACCCCCCGCCCCCCACATAAGCCCCTGGAAAGCGACTTTCCTCGGTGGCCCCTGCTCTGGACACGCACCCGACCCTCTGGGCTGCCCACCCTCCGCCCTGGCCTCCCGCTTGGCCCAACTCCCGCTCTCCAAGCACCGGACCTCAGAGCCAAGGCCACCCTCCCCCATCAGCGCCCTGCGGCCCAGGCCACAGTGTTTCAAGCTACAGAGGGGTTCAGCACCCAGACAAGGGGAACGAGGCAAGTTAAGGCCCTTTCTGGAGAAGCGACGCGCAGCACGTAGCTCTCGGTTCCGTCAGCCCACAAAGGACCAGCTGCGAGGCAAAGCTGCAGCGCCACTGAGGTCTCCGTCTCAAGGTGCCCGACGGCAGTGCCCATCACCCCAAGGTCTCAGTCTCAAGGTGCCCCA